CAATCACTTGTAGTTGTGTCGAGTCGCAGTTAACTGATCACCACTACGGACCGATTACGTGCCAATTATCAGGTTAAACCCTATGTAGGACAAATATTAGAAGGCAGTTGTAGATTGTAATTAGGATGTATTTGTTGGCAATCTCGTGGTATCGAAATAATACCCAGATCGTGCCAAAATTTACAAGCGAGACTACTCCACGTACGTGAGTGTGCTCAAGGTCACAAACAATGGAAAAGTATATGTCCCGGTACAATTAAACAAACAGGTTCAGTAAAATAATCACTGGTACAGTTGGTTATAATAATAAATGTTTCTATTACACCAATCGCGTTCTCTTCATAAAAGTAGGTCACTACACACTTATCTCTAGTTTTTTTTAATTTCACCCAAAAAGTCTTCATTACTGGAGGTCAGGAATTACAATAACCATGCAATAATTATCAACCAATGATGGAGAGTGAGATGTGCAGAAACTTATAGTAAATCGAGTTAATTTTATGATTTCGATTCTTTTCAAGTATATTTAACTGAGGTTATTCTTCTAACAGTGTCTGATGTTTCTGTGGACAGATATACAATGTATTTGTCCAACATCAAATTCTATCAAAAGTTTTAAAAGCTTATTCAAATAATTTGTCACTTGAAATGAATAAATTCCTATTAGTAGTCGTAAAAATATCTCCATCATTACTCGCTCTGAATTCACACAGAAAATGAAATAAATAGTAGTATTCACAGCTCTCTTTTAAACAAAATCTTCCTACGAATTACTTTATTTAAAAAAATCCATATTCTAAAATACGAATTCACTACATTTTACGAAATTTAACCTTTACTTTTAAAATATTGTTTATCAGCGTAATTCACTCACCTTATTATAGAGTACCTAACTACGAGAGTATCTGTTCAGATACACTGACTGGTACAGGGATCGATATTTCTGAAAGTTTAGCTTATTTACACAGTAAAAATTGCAGAACGAAATTAATAACCACATAAAAACTAAATGACATACTAAAGATGGAAACCACATTAAATCTTGGTTATCAATAGGATTACAGTAATTTCTATAAAACAGATTTGACTTGTCGTTATATAATCAGAGTATAGTTTGATCATTGTTTATCCACATGTCATACAATCAATTAACGGAAACGCAATTCAAATCATACAAGAGAATCCTTATCGATTGTCAGCCAAATACGATGAAGTATATTTATAACTAACGTAAATTTATTCATACACTATTCATGTACTAATGACATTTTGAGTTTTTGAATGATTACTATTTGTTGTCGATCAGGATACATTATGGGAACGAGGTGATTGTAAACGAAATGTTAGTATTTAGGAGGAAAGATAATAACTCATAAGTTTGCTGTAAGCTATTTAAAAAATGTTATTTGTGAAAAATTATATTTGAAATAGTCTCAGCGATTGAAATTTAAATAATTCCAACGTTTCGTCCAGCAGACTTGTCTGGAATTCTTCAGGGTAATAATCAAAATCAACATGATCAAAGAAATATATAATGTTTAACAATCAAATAAGATCAAATCTATATTGTGCTAATCCAATCATATTTGGATGTTGACTTTAGTGAGTAGGATAACATAAGTCAGTTACATGCGAATCATGTGAAAAATTCACTAAGTGAAGATAAATGAATGAATCGTGTGGGTGTATGTGTATGTGTAGGTTTGAGTTATTAATGGATGATATTAAGTATGAATTTGTTTTTGTATGAATTAAAAATAAACGTTCAATTTGAAGGTTGAAATTGTTTCTGAATCTTCTATGTGGATGTAAAATGAGAACAATCAAATGGATATTTGTAGAGCTAGAATATCCCAGATTAATTTCTGTTAGAATAGTAATGCATGCGAAATAAACAGGTTGGATAGAAATAGGATCAAATTACTTGTTAACGAAGATTTACCAAATGATAGCAAGTTGAATACCATCGTTTTTGTTCAGGCTGTTCTTATTAGCCCAAATAAACAGAGCTTCTACCGTCAATTTTTCGTTATGTGTGCTAAACCCTTCAAAATTGATCATGTATCCTATTTCTAATACATTTAACGCTGTCGCCGACCTATTCTAAAGTTTCTTTGAATCAACCGAGGATTTGGGAACATTTTTCAGATATTGTTTGTGTTCCTTCATTCTCACATTCAATTGTCTTGAAGTTTCTTCCACATACGTTGCATTACAATCATGACAGTTGATCTGATAGACAATATTCTGTTGTTCTTTCTTTGAAAACCTATCCTTAACTTTCACTAATGCTGATCTTGATTATTACCCTGAAGAAGTTTAAAAAAGTTTGCTGGACAAAATGTTGGAGTTATTTAAATTTCAATCGTTGAGATTATTTCAAATATAATTTTCATAAATAATGTCTTATCTATATTCGGCGCCCAAATTTTATCAAACTATTCGTTCTAGTATTGACAAATATTCAAATAAAATATTTTAAAAATAATTGTCATGGGTAAAATAAAGTGAATGATTATTCCAGTTTTTCGATAATCCTAGTGTTTCTTTAGTATTTACAATTGTAATAAACTATAACAGTATAGAATTTCACTGATTTGAAATTCAATCATCGTCATTCTATCTATTGAGTTTCTTTTACATCTAATTACTCAACTACTAATTTACATTACAATTCACTTAACATATTTGATATCACTATAATCATAAACTCAAACAACCTTGAAAAATTGTCTGTCACTGGGTTTCCTTGAGAGGTTTAAAATTATTTAAGATGAATTGATAGTTTGTACTCATCCAGAAATCTAAAAGACAACAACATTTACAACCAATCACTGAGTGGCAATCAACATCATGTTTGTTAAGTACCTTTTAATGCTGATCGAATTATATCGGCCAAATTGTAGTGTGACTATTAGTCTGAGCGTGTTGACATAGTTCGTAAGATGATGAAACGTTAGGCGGTTGGTAGCAGTCGACAGGACATAACATTTCCGCTCATTTAATTGTTTTAATTGGTGAGAGAGGCACATGGTTCCTTGAATAAACTTGAGTTTTCTACAACATGCTTTTCTTTTCCAAACGATGAATTTAAACTTTTGCTAAAAGTTCTATTCCATGTTACCTCATCTGAGACATGTAAAATAGCACAATTTAACAGATAAATTCATTCTCCAAATCAGAAAATCAAATGTTTTTTTCTACAACACAAGAACTAATCTTCTAAATGCAATTTTACTGGGAAGTTTTATAGTTAACTTTGTAATCATTTAAATGTTGGTATAAATGACCCCAAATTTGAAAATATTATTCAGAGACCCTCTTATACTTTGTAAATTACCTATGAAGATGATAGTGATATTTTGAGACACGAATTAATGTCCTATTCTTCAGAGTACATAAAACTATTGATTACAAACGAAATAAATTCAGAATGACTACACGTAAACAAATATATGTAATCATAAAAGAATAAACAAATAAAGTAATTAGCATAATAAAATTTCTTTTAGAAAACTGAAAAAATCCAAATCACTATAAAAATGATGAAGCAGAAGAACCAAGCACTATGGATTTAATAAAAGAATCCTGTAAGTATCAAGTAATCAAGTTCCGTTTACTTTCATATTATTTGACTGTATTATCATTCTGAATGAAGAATACATTATGGAAGTGTATTTGAATCTGTTTCTACTAACCTTTCTTACCATCATTCTATTTTCTTGAATGCCATCGAGCAGACATATTCCATAATTTATCAGGCTATATTAATAATCCCATAGGTCGATATTTACTTTTTTCTACTGTTTATTTCTTTTAGTGGCACTATTAATAGGCGTTCACATAATGATTTTGAAATTCTTAGTGTGATCATTTATTATGAATTATATCCAAGAGATTCATCTTAGTTACTCATAGATTTATTTGTTGATGATAAGAATATTCCTGATAATTTTTCACGGATCTAAGCTTCCGTAAGTCATTTGTTAGTAACCTGTTTCTATATATCAGTACGGAACTATGGAATCTAAGAAAATATGGGTGATATATGATACCCGAATGGATATAAAATACACATACCAAGAATTATTATCTCATTGTAACTGGGATACGTTATTAGTAACTAGTTCAATTATTGAACAATTTGAATGTTCCCTTTGTAATTTTTTAAACAACGAAACATGCACTGTGCTGATATTGAACTTTCAACGTCTGCGGTTGTAATTATCATATATTGTTTGGATTGAACTTTCTTGTTGTGATTCCATAACACAATTTAAGAATATTAATATTCTTTCATCTTTATTGGTAATTATAATACAATTTAAGATGGGTTGAGTAGATATTTGCTAAAATATTTAAAATCTAATAGAATACAATTGTTAATTTTGTCTTGATCGAAATCAAACCATTATTCAGAATTTAAGTTAACAAATGTCTATGATAGAATATAGATCAACAAGATATTTACAATCATAGAACGAAGAAACAACAGAAGGAAGCGAAATAGAAAATAACACTAGGGCAAACACTATACTATAGCTGTTTCGATGACAATAACCATACGAGTTGTTCCGTATTTCCCTTTAATATTTACTATTGTTGCATACTTGCATAGTTTGTGTAAGGTAATACAAGCAGTTTCTTTTATAATCCATATATATGAATGAGAGGCTTTACCGTGTACTAAACTATACAAATATGGTAACCTAAAGACTGATTGCATTATTTATGTATTGAGTGTTCGGAAGAAGTTACAGATTCTGTTTTTATCTCGAATTGCCTTGGGTATTTTTTTAAAGTATTATAGAGAGTTACTAATCGTTACGATATACCTAAATCTTTTCTGTAGAACACGATACACTTAGTGGGTAGGTGTTATTCCTTGATTTGTATGCAAACAGGTCAAAGAGATTATGGCTAACATATGATCGTCAATCTTTATATATATATATATATATATATATATATATATATATATATATATATATATATATATATCATTGCATTAATGATTCCGTGTGCTTTCCTATTGTCGCGATGCTGCTAATTCTCTCTGTGACACTTTTAACTGATGTTAATAAACGTTTTCTCAAAGGAGCTGTACTGAAAATGAGAATACATGGATTTAACGTACATCCCAATAATATAAGTATTGTACTCATTTGTTCAATCGGAGTACCATAAGTGTAAACCACAACTTCACATGCGATTAATATTTGACTTATGCATTCAAATGAGTGTAATATAGCTAGTTGACATGACATAATTGTTGTTGTGATAACTAACTGAGTAATTTTCTTCTGTATCTGTAAAGTAGCTTCAAAATTTTGTGTTGTGCAATTTTGATGAGAAGGGCTAGATATTTTTAATACATGTATGATCCATGCATGGCTAACTAATGTGACCAAAACTGGAACAAAATAAGAAAACACAACCCATGAATACACAATATAACCAAGAAATACTTTCGTTTGAATCCAAGGGAATGAAAAATCCATAACACATTGGCCATCGGTATAACGACGAAGAAGTGGTGTTGGTAGGTACAAAATCAAAAGCATAGTGAGCATGTAAAGAAAGTATAGTACGAAAAATCTATTCGTATACGTTTTGAATGATCCAAGAAATAGGACAGAACTCGCTCGATCCAATGATATACAAACCAGATTTTGCACACTTAAGATACATGGCAACCAGAATAATCCATTTCTAAACCAAAAATGACAAATTACGACATCTATAATATATATTCCAGTTCCGTTATTGACAGATGATATAGATTGAATCATATAGTACATTGCTGTTGAGAAACATGCACTTAAGTCAAATATTGGTTGTGCTCTAAATACAAATGTAGTAAATTTTGAACCGAATTGTGAAGTGAACACAACAGTGATGGCCACAATATTTAATATTATGCCAAATATTCCTTCAGTCGTAATAATAATCCGAATAGGTAAGCTAATGTAAATAGTCCCATTCATTGTTTAAGTCTGTTTATGTTGTTTACTGTTTACTATAATAAAGATAAAAATATAAAATGAAAGATTGATTTACATTTGAATAAGTTTATAACTTGATATTGGACAAATTTATTCTCAATCTTGTATATTTTATAGCTTTAATGACCAATCAGAACTTCATTTACAATAATTTGAATGGTAGATGAAATATTGTATGGATATCAAATATACAATATAAATCAGTGGTGAATTTGGATGGAGCAATAAGCAGACAAACTCCACTTGTAGCTCATCTAGGGTTTCTGATGGTCCCAAGACCGGATAAAGGAGGGAGTTTGCACATGAGGTCAGCAAACTCATCTGGTAGAAAACAAACTTGCTAGAAAAACTCTAACCAGAATAAACAATTCAAAAAATTCAATCTCTTCCCTCCGATTTAAAGGATCGTCATTTAGAAGAATTATTACACCTCATAGTGTAAGTCGAGATTCTTCGAAAACCACAAGACCGATGTCCATTCTAACAAACAGAGCAACAATTAATATAGCTACATGGAACGTTCGGACAATGTGGAAGACAGGGAGGACGAGACAAATAGCTACGGAAATGAGAAGATACGACATGGATGTACTCGGAATCAGAAGAAAAACATTGGATCCAAGCTGAAGGAAAATGATTGACTTCGAGAGAGATTTAGTTGTACTCTGGTCATGAAGAAGAAAATACCTTACACACAAAAGGAGTTACACTGATGCTATTCTAAATGTTACCTCAGGAATGCTTTTCACTAACTTCATAAGTTGGTTGGAGAGAATAGAGTGGTTAAGCTCACAGACCGCCTCATTCGTCTTGAAACTTTTATTAGCCAGTGAGTTACTAAGACATATCGTGCTATTATGTAACGATTCGATTTAAATCTTGAAATCAGCTTTACAACCCATACTTCATTCTTGATCACAATTCTTTCCTAAGTTTGATGAAACGTTAGACATCATAGTATAATTTGCATTTTTTTCACAGGTTTTTTCTCGTTAATTTGTTTTGAATATGTTGATGTGGATTATAGAAAATCAGCATGATATAGACTTGTATCAGGTTTTATGTTAAGCTTAACGGATTGGCTAAGTATATGAAATGATTTCATTTACTGGAGATAACTGTTGATAAAAATCTGGTATTCTCAGATAAGTAAAAATTGTTAAGCTGTAAAAAATCCCCTAATCATTACTATTACAGTTCATAAGTATAGTTTTTTTTGTTGAAAGTATCACACTAAATACCATACTTCTCTAAATAAACCTAAAACATTCACGTTTACAAACTCGGTTAAGTCAATATTCAAGTGAGTTGACTAATGCTCATGTGGTATTATGGTTATCATATTACGGACTTCTACAATCTAGACTAATGATTCTCCACTGAGTCTATCAGGAAGCCAAAAATCCAATTATATACATTTTGTATAGAATCAATTTTATGAAGTAGGCTTCACAGTTCATATTCACTAAGTAATTACACGATGAATAGTAGAGGCTTAGACTGTAGTATTTATACATTCTCTTATTATCATGCTTTCGTTTGATTCATAAATCGCTATCAGATAACTTTTTATTTCAGATTTATCATTAGTTAATTATTCCCTACTACCCTGGTTTTGTATCATCCGTATAAGTTATGTTATTCCTTGATTGCGTATGGTCAAACACTTCAATTATATTATTGTATGAGTTGTGTAACATGATCAAATTGAGTACTTTAGAGAACTGACCTATTTTCTATCCTCATCTTCTGGTTGGCCACTCGGCTAGAAGGTGCTCGAGAAACAATTAACCTTAAGGTCTTATTTGTTATTCACTGGTAAGTGTGTCAATCCAAGAATAGTTACCGGTCTTACTAGCAATATAAATGAACTAATCAATAATTGGTCTAGAGAGAGATCATATGATTGTTATCCTATCACACAGGACCCCATAAACTCAAGGACTTTGTTTTTTTTCCCGACAAAACAATTACTTTGAATCCAGAGTAAACTCAAGTGTTTTCTCACCAAGCATAATCTCCTAGTTTCAATGCATGCATAAGATATTATTGCGATAATAAACACAAGGCACCAGTAACAACTGTACTACAGAGAATGAGAATGCAGTGAAAGAATATTCTGAATCTAAGAATCTGTTTATATTTCCAATAAAATCGCGAACCAGATGAAAATAAGTTTCGTTGATAATTCTCACTGTATCCGTTTTTCATTCTAGACTTATAGGCAAGTTACATTCGCAGATAAGTGATATGCAAAATAATATGAATGAATATTTAGACATCATGTTGAACATATTTAAGAGCTAAAATCACTTCATAGATGTGGTTGTTATAATCCACGAAATGCGGTTGAAATACACTCTTTTGGTATACATTTTTCCGAGCAGTCATGCAAATGAGAAGATTGATAAGTGACTAGGAAGCTTAAATTGACAAAATGAATGAATATGTATACTAATCTCTGATATTAATATATGTCCTTATGATGCAATTAAGGGAATGTAGATTGAGACCTTGATTAGGTATATTTTATTCATCCTCCTATAGAATGTTTTGTCTATAATGCTTCACACATCACATAACCCTGAGATGGCAGTCTAGAAATTTGACTTTTTCAAGGTCACATTGCACGTCTAGATTTCTCCAGTCTATCGACAGTTATAATCAAGCAAGATAAACATCGCATTCCCAAATGTTAAATACAAGTAAGCACATGACTCTGAAAATTCGTGGTATTTATTTCTACAGCAGTTTGACTCTATGATTTTATAAATTATGTTCATACACAAGGTTAATGATTAATCAATGTAATTCATTCATCTTTGATGTTTACTGAATGTGAGCAAATTATCTAAAAATCAGTGTATTGAAAAATAGTTTTTATCTATTTTCGTTGTCAAGTCGATCTGTGTCAGCTTTCACTAACATCTTGAGTAAAGTCATGTCAATCTGAATTCAGTTGTAAAACTAATCTTCTCCTGCATATTAATTGCTCATGAAAATCTCAGCTTCTTAAACAATTAATGTTTGAATAGTTGAAATCATGAGTCAATCGAAGCTAGACTACCAAGGAAAACCTCGAAGCACTGGACGGCCGTTTCGTTCTATTGTGGGACTCTTCAGACGTGCTCACCCACGGCCCGGCCCCCCGCGGGATTCGAACCCAGGACCTATCAGTCTCACGCAAACGCTTAACCACTAGACCACTGAGCCAGCATCCAATGATGTTAATGTTTAACTTCAACTAATCCAAGAAATTGAGCGACACATCCACATCATTATCTCAACTATTAAAATTACTATAATATCCACAAAACCACTTCTGATACAAATAAATAAAGTTAGAATTTACGGCAGAAATAACTTGTATTATACACTGTTAAATCATGATTCTCATACAAAGAAATTCAACCTAATTTATATACTTAAATAATGATTTATCATACAGTTGAAATGAATGTGTCTAGATTTCAAATTTCGGAAGAAAAAAATAATTCAGTTCACCTAATATAAATTATGTGTATACATTCGTGCTAATTTGAGAGTAATTCCCAAATGAAGTTATAATGTATATAGATGAAGTAAAATCAATAAAATATATAATAAACAAACAAACAAACGAGAAAATCAAATAGTAAATACATTCTGTAATGATAAACAACAGAAACTCCTACTTAATTCTAAATACGTCTAGATGCCTAATTACATTTTTTCAGTGTTTGCCTCCAAGTCTTTCATTTCTTTTTATCTTAAAATCTATTTCAGTTTTGCAATTTCAATTTTCATTGTAAAATAGTCATCCTTGATTCAGAAGAAAGAGAGAGAGAAAGAGAAAAAGAGAGGACATCGATCAGCACTAAATTATTTTATCCCTGTTTACTAATAATTTGTCTGATATTTGAAAAAATGAATAATAGTAAATGGAAAACATTTTTTCTTAATTTTTGTAAATATTTTCATTGTTTTATAAAGTCAAAAAAAGAAATTAATGATCCCTATCAGTTCACTATTGACTATTAATCACTGAAATAGGAATGTGAATATTTATTTTGATAAAAATTTGTTCATATGATCAAAATGAACCATAGAACAATGAAAACAATAAAAATATCTCCATATATAGTGTATAAATAATCAACACTTTGAATGATCTACTGGCTAGACAATATTTTATAATACATTAGACTATTCTAAGTGTAGATCTGATTGGTTATAAAAACTATGATATAGATATATATAAAGTTAGGAAGTAGTTTATCAAATATCCAATTTTCAACTTGTTTAACGTAACAATCTATTTCAACAAATTCTAACACCTTATAACTCCATATTCATTATTACAGCAGAAAAATTAAATGATGAATAATACCATTGATTTTACCTTACCTGCTCAAATTATTATTACAATTGAAGGAATATTTGGCACAATATTCAATATTGTAGCTATCACTGTTGTGTTCACTTCACAATTCGGTTCAAAATTTACTACATTTGTATTTAGAGCACAACCAATATTTGATTTAAGTGCATGTTTCGTAACAACAATCTATTATATCATTCAATTTACTAAAGATTATGATAAACCTACAGGATTATATATTATTGATATAATTTTATGCCATTTTTGGTTTCAGAATTCACTATTCTGGTTGCCATGTATCTTAAGTGTGCAAAATCTAGTTTGTATATCATTGGACCGAGTGAGTTCTGTCATATTTCTTAGATCGCTTAAATCATATACGAAAAAATTCTTTATAATATACTTTGTATATATGGTTTCTATGGTTTTGATTTTATATATCCCTACACCACTTCTTCGTCGATATACTGATAATCGTTGTGTAATGGATTTTTCTGTTCCATGGATGGATACAAATGCATTTGTTGAGTATTTTGTATATTCCTGGGTTATATTTGCTTATTGTGTACCCGTTCTAGTCATGCTCATCAGTCATGCTTGGGTAATACATACTTTAAGAGGGCATAACTCATCTTGTCATTTTTTATCACGTGATATGCAGTCTAATTTACAAATTAAACGTAGAATAAGTCAACTTGTAATCACAACGTCAATTTTGTTTATTCAGCAAACTGTTTTACACTTTTTTGAATGTATAGGTCAAATATTGGAAGTAACCGGAATTTTTCGATATAGCTTTGACAGTCCAATTGAACAAATGAGTACATTACTTATATTATTGGGATATATGTCAAATCCATGTATTCTTGTTTTTAGTACAGCTGTATTAAGAAGACGTTTGTCGTTATTACTCAAAGCCTAACAGAAAAAATAACCAACATTACAATAATCAAGCTACACTCAAATTGATCGACACAAAAAGTACATTGGCACTATACATATCAAGGGAATATATAACAATATTGTGATGTTTTGTACAATGAGTTGACAAGATTCACTTTTTACACTTATTTAGATGAATGTGTTATTTTTGAAACTTATTTATCCTCTATAATATTCTCTCTACAATTAACTAACTATTTACTCATCTATTTACCGACAACCAATATGATTCTTTGTCAACTGTCCTAATAAAAAAGATATTTTATCATCCTTTAGACTCATGGTCAAACACTATACATCAAAATATTCAAATTAAAATGTTTAATTTTATGCAGAAATAGTTTCGAGATTAATTTGTAGTTAAATATAATTCTTTATTGTGTTGTATAGGGCCAGTGAAATGTCACTATGCCCTAGCCAAATCATACGACAGTCAGGTAACAGAATATCGAACAGATCACCGATCCTTTTTAAGTTCAAGGAAAGCTAACGCGCATCAATTAATCGCACACCATGAACTGGTCCATACAACGGTGGTCGCAAATTATCCATTGTACCTACTTTTACCAATATATTTCTATAATAACATCCCTTGTATCATACGGTCTTCGAAGCAGCCAATAGTACCTTGATACGACGAAATTGTAATCCACATTTGTTACTGATCATGAAGTGTTACTTCAAAGTTAGCTGGTTCGTCACACTATTCCCATCTAACTCGAGTAAGCCCTCAATCATTCAACACAGAAGATCATATATGTTAGTGATCTATAATTGTATTTACATAATTATTAAGTCAAATCTTGAAAATAAAAAAATTCAAAAATATTTACGATATGAGAAAAAAACAAATAAATGTAAAATAGAAGTGAAATAGTTAGAATATACATTTCCTGAAACAAATATCAAATGAAATAGTAAAAAATTTAATCCAGTTTGTTTCCAGTCCGTTTACTTTTTACAGCATACCAATTTTTTTTGTTTTCAGGTATTTTTTTCTTTTCATTTTAATAATAATCTCTTTTTTTATACAAAAAAAAACATCCTTTAACAGATTTTTATTTTCATTATTGAATATTGTGATTATTACATGTTGATATTGTCAATATTCATAAGTAATAAAGAATAAAAAAACCGATGAAGAACCATTGGTTACATCTTATTTAACAAGGTTTCAATTGTTTAGTATCAGAAGGAGTTTTGTGGAGATTGTAGTAATTTCAGTAATTGAAATCATGAAGCGATTGACAGTAGAACACCATGGAAAGCGTCGAAGCACTGGAAGGCCGTTTTGTTCTATTGTGGGATGCCTCAGCAGTGCACATCCACGACCCATCCTCGCGAGATTCGAACCCAGTACCTATCAGTCTGGCGAGAGAGCGCTTAACCGCTAGAACACTAAGCCAGCATCCGACGGCGTTCATGTCTAACTTCAACTAATCCAAGAAATTGAGCGACACATCCACCATTGTCATCAGTGAGCTACTTTCTCATAAGAGACCCGGTTGAACTCCGCTGGTCACTGCTCCTGTTTGTTAATTATACATGTATGTGTATGTTATTTAAATAGATTTTAAAGCACTGAATCAAATAAAATGATAGTAATAACAAATAAACATATCACAACACTTACTATACTTTCAAACTAGTCTCATTTAGATACACTTGGTACTGTTTACTTCCCATTGATGTTTAGGACTGCAATTGATCAGTCTCTTATCGACATATGTGTATACTGTACGTAATGCCTCGATACTGCCTTAATTGACAAGCATTCTAAGCAAACATAGATAGTGGCTAGCAGTGGAATCCAGTTAGACGCCCGTTTCGTCCTTTTTGGGACTTGACAGTTGGATGTACCTGCATCTCAGAGTTGATGTTTACTCTGGGACTTGAACCAGTACCATTCGCTTTTCTTCTAGAATATTTTCTAAAGTATAAAAATCAGTACTGAAATAAAATTTGTTAGAGATATATACATCTATTACAATAAAGTAAGTATTGCTTACTAAAGAAATGTAAAGTGTGTAGTTTTGAAAGATACCCATAATTATTCATCTTGAATAAACATTGTGTGACCTTTCGCTTGATCTGATTTAACTATTCATTACTTTTTATTACTAAAACTCTACCAAGTTCATTCATTTCGTATACTTGTAGTGAAGGAGAACACGGGTGAGGACAACCAAATCGTATGTAGGACGAATTACAGAATTACTTGGTAAAATAGAAAAACCATGTAGTAAATCGTTAATTTGCAAAATATTATTCTATCATATCAAACCGGACTGTTGCTTTTGCAAACCTCAATCCATTGTCTCGCATTTCATTGTTCATGCGATTTCTTACAAATTCCATTGTTTTCTCGCTCTTCTTTTCTTGATCTTCTCCATCTTCTGCTGCCAGACGTTACGTTCTTTTGACTTACGTTATATACTACTTATATCAATATAAGTAGCACGCACCACATACTTACAATCAGTAGTATGTTGTGTATGAATCTGTGAATGTTAATCTTTTTCCTCGGCGAGACTATAATTTATGAACGAGCCAATCAGAAGTGTTTGAGGTCACGGTACCGATTTCCGTACTTGATGCTCACGTACGATCGGTTTACAGCGGATTTTAGAGAAAACGTGATGACTGAGCGACTAAAACATATCGGACTATTAAGAAGTTACTTTATTTGTGATTGTGGTAATCAAATAACTTGTGGACCTTGTGCAGACTTTCGTGATGATGTTGTCTTTCGATGTGATATGTATTGGAGGAAGAAGTCTGTTAGAATAAACCTTTTTCTCTCAATCCAGATTGGGATCAAGGCAAATCATGACAATTGTTGCGAACTGGATAATAGAAGCACCAGTAACACTGGTTGCAGCCAGGTACTACTATATATACGGATGATCCGAGAGCGTACAGATGCCTATATAGAATTAGTTTTGTGCATCGTGTCGTTATCCACACGTGGCATTTTATAGACCCAACAACCGGGGTGCATACAAACAATATTGAAGCTATGCGATCGAAGCTGAGAGAGTTTTCGCGACCTTATAATGGCTCTAGAGGCTGACTATTATGAAGCCATATGGATGATTTCCTCTACCATATGCATTACTATTTTAGAACGTATGAACCTCTTTCTAACTTTAACAAATTTTTGAACCATGTAAAAGAAGTGTATCCACTTTAATTCTTTGGTTCGGTAAAATATACTTTTACTCTTTACTAACTGTTTTCTGATTGGCTAATATTTCTCAAGGTCAGCGAAGATTTGTTCAAAAGTCGTCCATAAATTATAGTCTCGCCACGTTATTTTATTTTCTGGAAATAAGTAATCAGTAATTTTGTTTACTTGAATAGCTTCAACAAAAGGATCACTAATCGTTAACCATATTGTTGGAATATTTTTTAAATTTTCCTCACATTTTATTATTCTCTTATTTGACCAATTGTTTGATTTCATATATTGAAATATGTACTATGCGTTTATTCAATAATTAACATCCCAACTATTGTTATTTATCATTCTAAATAACAGTAAACTGAAGTATATTCAATCTGTTTATATTCATCACATTACTCTCTTTAAAAATACATCAATCATATTGTTTATAGACTATAATCGCGTTCTATTAAGTTGTTTACGATAAATTGTCCTTTAAAAATTAATATTCAACTCATATATAATCATAAAATCTATTGTTTTCAATAGCAAAATAATTAACTAAAGAAAGAACTTATTTTCAAATATGGAGAAACATATTATTAGAGAAGGTTATACAGATTTATGACTGAAGAGTTTGTTAAACTGTCAATCTAGCAACAACAACAAAATTATAAAACGAAAACTTTGTACTTCAGTTAACAGTATCCCATTTTATTGATTAACTAGTGATGTTTTTTTCGTAATATTTATAAATGAGCTTGTCTCACTGTACCAAATTTCAAACAATCAAAGGCAATATGTTAGTAAAGTTTTCCATATAAATTCATGTGATAAGTTTGTTGGAAATGATTGGTTACTATCAAAATTGGGTATTTAAGTAGTATAAAGTCGAAAACCAATAAAATGTATTGATTCTGCAATATTTTTTTAAAGGAATTTTCTTATCTAACATAACCAATATTTCAGACATTTGGTAATTAATAATTGAATTATTTGATTTGTCAACAATTTTTCTAAGAACAATGATATGAGAATCAAGTCTCAAGTAAATAAATTCAGGATAATGCTTTAAATATGAATTTGTAGTTTAAGCATTGAGTACTTTTTCTTCGTTTAAAGAAAATTTTATGTTTAAAGGGTAAATAGTGTTATGCATGAAAACGTTCTTGGCATAGTGAAACGGCTGTCCAGTGCTTCCAGGATTTCAATGGTGGTCTAACATCAATCAGTTCATGATCTCAACCAAGAACTTAATAATCTT